ACCATTTTCGGGACGAAAATGTTTTAAGACGGGGGCAATGTAGCGAGTACGGCTCTGGATCTCGGAATGATGACTCATCGCCGATGAGTCATCGCCGGTGAGTCAGCGCTCGAATAATCAAGAGTGTGGAGCACGCTGGAATGTTCCAGAAGACGTAGGCGCTGAATATATAAGGAACGACGCATCATGGAGAGTCAGTCAAGTTTTGGTACTCGCGTCGAAATAAATAAATATACTTGCAAATAAATAGACTCTTGAACAGTAGTGATATATAAATAATTAGTAGTTAAGTGTTTAGTTAGTTTTTATAGTGTTTAAAGTGTAATTAAGTTTTAAAATAAATAGTTTAGTTCGTTAATAAACCAGTGCGTGTTTTAATTCACACTACGAACAGTAAAAACGAAATTAATATCGACCAGTGATGATGGGACCGTCCCTCCAGAGGTCGTAACAAGTTTTTAGCTTTACTCTTTCCCTAGCTATGCATGAATCTGATGAAATGTTTGAAAATAATGATGTTCAGCCGTTGATTATGTGGGTGGCAATTAGCGAGATTGGATTTAATTTTCACCATATGTGCAAGAGAACAGCTTTAGCCGAAAATAATATAGCCTCCTCCATTTAGGGCAATGAAAATGTTTTTCCATTAGGGTTTAACCTCTTGAAAAAACGTTTTCATTGAGCTTTATGAAGAAGAAAGTAATACAAAATATCTATATTATTTTTGATTGAAGCTGTTCTCGTGGACAAATCGTAATAATCAAATCCGATCTCGCTAATTTACCACCTACAGAATCGGCGCTGAACACTCTTCTTTTTGAACATTTCATCCGGTACAGGCATGGTTGGACAATGTTTTAGATCCAAAATAGGGGAGCTAAAGCCAATGATGACCGCTGAGTCAGGAGAAACGAAACCATCACTTGTCGAAATCATTTCGTGCTGGTGTACGAATCAATACGGCCCAACGTTCGGCTGTCGAAAGGCCTGGTAAAAATGTTTCGCAGTTTGAAAATTTTCTTGCAGGAAAATATCTTTAAACTTTAGATAGATTGCCATTTACTCTGACAAAGAGATATTTTTGATCTACCAATCATGGGTTTTCTAACAAGATACAGCGTTTCTGAAAAAGGCCAGACATACCACACGACACTTCCACTAAAAAGTCAAACGATTATAAACATAGAAGAAATAAAAATATTTTGACGTGAATGAGACCTTTAGGAAATACCGCATACGAAAAGTAGTGAGAAAAAACGTTCTTATGGGTGTACGAGCGCGGCCATGTTTACTCTAGGATTGGTCGGCTCTCTTTAGTCGCACAGAGCTCTATTTTTTTAAATTGTATAATATTAAAAGAGGTACAAAATGTTAATCATAATAATTTATCATAAAATGTACCGTTTTCGAAATATTAGTACAAAATTAAAACAAAAAAAAAAACAAATTTTTCATTTTTACCAACTAAATTTTTGTAGTCATTTTTTGAACAAAAAATACTTTAGACAAAAATGATTAAACATTTTATAATAAATAGGTAATTTTGCTTTTTTACTTTTTTTTCGCGTCTATCTTTGTAAGAAAAAATGATCAGGTGGTGCAAATTTGGTTTTAAGCAACAGGCACTTACCGGCACGCAAGGTTAGGCCATTTTTCACCACGGTTTGACTGGACTACAGGCAGCCATTCCAGGTTACTCAGAAATTTTTGTAACGTCCGTTACAATCAAAAATTGTGAGTAAAACTACCGTAATTATTATGCTTATAAGCTTAAGCCTAATTATTACAAGCAATAAACATGTTTGCAATAGTGCAGGGTTAAATGACAAAAAAATATATATTTTTATTTTAATTATTTTTAGAGTGTAAACAAATAATTTAGATGATACCCAAGTAGAAAAAGCCAATAGTAATTTGGTGTTGGTAGATGAAGTAGTTGTAGTGATGTTACATTGGACTGTCGTCATCTTGGTTTTCTTGATTTTCACAACGTTTGGATTGGTTGTCTCCAATCGTCTTCAGGTGATAATGGTAAAATATTTCGAAACTTTTGTTTAAATAGCTGGTCGTACTTGTTCATTGAGCGGTTTGATTTCTACGCTTGGTTTGCTGAAAATATTGTTATTCTGGCTGATGTATGTAGTTCCAGGAATTTTCTTTTCAGCCAGTGTGATTCTCTGTGTAGAATTTTTGCGTTTAACCATGAGATATTGTGGTGTTCCTTCCATGCATGTTCAGCTAATCCAGATTTCGTGGTTTCCCCTTTTGTTGTGTGTGTTTTGTGTTCTTTTATCCTAACTTCTAGTGTTCTCTTTGTTTCTCCTATGTAGGCTTGTCCGCAATCACAAGGGACGTGATAAATTACGTTTTTTGCTAGGTTTTGTGTGGATTTTGTTCTGGTTAATAGGCTTTTGAGCACTGGCGTAACAAGACAAGGCGGGGCCCTGGTTTCTTAGATACAGCCCCCTCTCATCTCTATAATATACATATAAATGAAAAAAATGTAGGATTTATCATAAATCGCGACAGGAATGATTTCCTAGGTATGGACCTACCAGTAATACACCAATTATAATTATTTTAAACAAAGTGCACAATGGGACCTAAAACAATTCTACCACCACCAAAAACAGTTATAAAAAAAATTGTAATAGTATATTAGGGAATAAAAAACATCGAATATTTTTTTTTAATTCCGACACTGAAAAATTAGTTTTTAGGCACTTCTAGAAAGTGCTCACCAAATTTGAAAATAAAATTATATAGGTATGCTATTTTTTTTAATAAACTCTTCAAACTTTGATCTTTAATTTTTTTTAAATGGTTAGAGTAATCGCTTAAACACTAGTCCTTTTTTGTAGGGCATTCAATTTCCTACAAAAATATGTATATAGATTTGATTAAACGATTGATTAATAATGAAATATGGTCTTTTTTTATAAGGGACTAAAAAAAAATGGAAAAACTGTGATGAGCAGGATCTTCCTATTAATATTAAGAGCTCAAATTTGGTGAGCACTTTCTAGAGGTACCTGAAAACCAATTTTTTCAGTGTTGGAAGTATATTTTTGGAAAGTTTTATATACAACCGTATAAAACGACAAACGTATACGTTTATTTATAAAACGAACGAACAATTTATATACCTTATGGAAGGAACACCACAATATCTCATGGTTAAACACAAAAATTCTACACAGAGGATCACACTCGCTGAAAAGAAAATTCCTGGAACCTACATACATCAGCCAGAATAACAATATTTTCAACAAACCAAGCGTAGAAATCAAACCGCTGTCGAAACTAATCCTACGCAAGATTAAGCAGTTCCAGGTAGCACACTGACGTCTGCTGACGTTGAAATGACGTTGCTAACATCATTTATACGTCAGAAGACGTCATAAACGTCAGCAAACGTCAGTGTGCTACCTGTGCAAGATCGAACAGCTATTTAAACAAAAGTTTCGAAATATTTTACTGTTATCACCTGAAGACGATTGGAGACAACCAATCGAAACGTTGTAAAAATTAAAAAACCAAGATGACGACAGTCCAATGTAACATCACTAGAAAAAAGCCACTTATACTCTTAAAAAATATATAATGACAATACTTTTCATTTTTATTCATTTCAAATTTTGACCTTATTTAAATTAATGATTCATAAAAAACATAAAATACGTTATAAGCGTAAAATTTCTTAAAAAAATATGTTTTATATATTGTTGTATCTATTTATTAGTAAGCTATGAATTTTTTCTTATGTCATTAAAATGTCATTTAGGAAAAGTACAAAACAATATTCTTTTCTAAATTTTTATTAGACTATACAAATAAAACCAAGTTGGTAAATAACGGACACCCTACTGTACAGGGGAATCCCAAAGATTTAGCCAGGTCTAGTTTCTAAACCGTTTGATATATTCCAAAGTTATCTGCTTACAAATGCTCCGTTATTATTGGTGCTACAAACTTGGTTAAATTAGCAATTAGCAAAATACATATCTTGAAAGACAATAAATAAAATGAATTGAATTGAATTAATTTAATTAATTAATTTAATTTGGAACCAAAATTTATTATTGCATAACTTAAAATAAATTTGGTTATTTCAACAACCATTAGAAGTACTTATTAATTTTTTTTGTTAAGGGTAGTTATGCAATAATATTTTTTTGTTATATTTGTGAATATTTTGGAAACACCATGTATTGTACGAGCCCTAACCACATAATGTTCGGACACTTCATAATTTATACAGAAATTTTTTTCGTGAATACTATCTCAAAATTATTAGAAGTTATGAAAAATTCAGCTTATTTTGGCATATACCCCTCGAAGCGATTTTTATTTTTAAAAAGTTTACCTTTTATTTTTAGCTTTTAAAAAAAAGGCTAACTTTTTAACTTTTTTTTGCATGAGTAAAAAAAGTTATAAATGGGCCCATTAAAAAAAAACATAAAATATTATACAAACCCTGAAAATTTGGTAAAAATTGTATAAATAATAAGAAAGTTATAGCGATATATATATCTGCAAAATCTCCCGTTTCCTAAGAAAATTGCAAAAACTCTTTAAAAATAGCATTTTTAAATTACTTATACTTTTTTATAACTTATTTATTTTTTACCAAATTTTCAGGGTTTGTATAATATTTTATGCTCTTTTTAATGGGTCCATTTATAACTTTTTTTACTCATACAAAAAAAAGTTAAAAAGTTAGCCTTTTTTTAAAAGCTAAAAATAAAAGGTAAACTTTTTAAAAATAAAAATCGCTTCGAGGGGTATATGCCAAAATAAGCTGAATTTTTCATAACTTCTAATAATTTTGAGATAGTATTCACGAAAAAAATTTCTGTATAAATTATGAAGTGTCCGAACATTATGTGGTTAGGGCTCGTACATGGTCTATTCGCAAAAATAAGGTATATTCCTAACAATAATTTTTTACTTTAATTTTATTATTACGTAATTAAATGTATAACGAAATAATTTTGTAGGACGGTGATAAAATTATTAAAGAGGCTTTAAAAAAAGTAAAATCATTGGACATTAGCACAATGACTGACGATGCACTAAAAAACATGTTGCAAAATATGAAAAAAGAATTGCAACAAAAAGATAATTGCTTTGTAAATGGTTTGATGTCTGTTTAGTTTGTATTTAACTGTAACCTTCATGTTTTAGTTATTTAGTTTTTTTTACTTTACTTTTAAGTATCATTTATTTTACCTAAAGTTACTTGTTTTTATTTCTACCACCCGATAATAGTTTAATCTGATAATAATAAAATAAATGTATTAAATATATAATCATTAATACAATACAGCACTTATTGCTCATCTTCTGTGGCCGGTTCAGCATCATTGTTTGGTTCTGTTGTCGCGTCTGTAACCGGTTCAGCGTCTGTGGTTGGTTCAGCATCTGTATGTTCTGTGTCAGTTGGTGCTACGTCTGTGGTTTCTGCGTCAGTGACTTCTGCGTTGGTGGCATCTGCGTCGGTGTGTTCTGCATCGGTAAGTGCTTCTTCAGCTGGTGATGCTTCAATTGGTGCTGCTTCAACAACTGGTTCTGCGTCGTTTTGCTCCGCATCTGTTGTTAATTCTTCCGTTTGTGCAGCCTGAGTTTCTTCAATTTCGCTTACATCTTCAAAAATATTGTATACATGTTACCGCGTATATCCGAAAACCGTAAGTATGCATTATAACAAGAGATTGCAGTTAATAAGCATAATAACTAGTGATGCAACGAATAGTACTTTTACGAATACGAATATCAAAACTACTATTCGGCGGATACGAATACGAATAACTCGGCATATTAATAGAAAACTCATATATTTAATCGTTTTCTATTTATTTTATTTTAGTAATTAAAATTTACAACTGGAAATTTTTTGTTTAAAAAGCACGTGCGCACAACATGTAAAGGTTTGATGGCTACATGCGATTTCTTTTTTTAGCCTTATATTCGCAGCCGTTGAAAAAATCCTTAGGAAATCCCCGGAGACCAGGAGTCCCTATCATTGCGGCTAAAGCGTTTGTATACACACGGTACACTTAAACGAAATAGCGTTAAAAAAATATATTTTTTAAATATTCTTGATTATTTATTACCCATAGTGGTAAAAATGTTTTTTAATTTTCGAATAAATATTCGCCGAATACGAATATTCAGTAAGTGTCTACTATTCGGCGAATACTTATTCGTATTCGTTGCATTACTAATAATAACTATAGCGTGTTGTGCGATTATACGTTTAATTTTTCTACCTGCTGTTTGTGAAACTTCAACTTGTTCGACATTGCTGACATCTTGTGTAAATTTGGCTTCATCAGTGGCTTCTTTCTCTGTCATTTCAGAAACTTGTATTTTTTCTGAAATTTCCGTCTGTTCTGTAGTAATTCCTAAAATATTAAAAATTAATAAAAATTACGTTTTAATTGTACAATCTGGACCATATGTTTCAAATTCATCCTCTTCGGATAAACTATCAACTGATGGGTCTATCATATGCATTGCTGCATGCATAATTTCGCTAACGATTTCCTTTGCAGCTATCATTCCACTTGCTTGTGTTTCCATTTCAGAACTAAGTTTACATTATAAATTACAACAAATACTGTTGGTACTTTTTGTAACTTGGAACAGAAATGGGACTGAACGGCAGAAAAATTTAAAATTAAAAAAAAAACTGTTTAAAGTTAAACTTTTTTTTGTTTTGATCTTGGATGCATCAAGACATCATATTTCAGAACTAGATTTGTTTTTTACTGTTGATCCTAAGGATTTACCTTTCTCTGATAAAAAATAGAGTTTTTTTTATTTTTATATAAAAATTCAAAAGAACGACAACGTTATACTAAAAAATCTCTACAAGGCTGAGCGTAAGGAGTGGATGAGGATGTTGATAAGGATAAAGCCACATGTTTCAAAAATGAGCCATGCATTTTATGGCCGAGGCATTAATAATTTATGTACTTCAGCATGAACTATCAACTTTCCTGATCCTGATTCCGAACATTTCTAGAGTCACTGGTCCGATTTCTACAAAATTTTGCACACATGTACAATTATCTAGTCTTTATTATAGGTTTTTTTTACCTGCAAACATCTGCTTTTAATTGAAAACCTCTGCTTACACCTGCGTTCGGTTTTATCCGTGATTGCCTGCATTTGCTTCGTCTATTTCGGTCCTGTTACGTCCGCAAACGACTGGTTTTATTCGTTTTTTAGTTTTACTTACGTTTTCTTGGTATACTTTAGTTTATTTTACCTGCTGTCTCAAATTTTACTGAGCTTTAAGTAACTAGTTGTTAGCCGTTCATGGCACAAAACTTTAAAAGGAATTGTTCGAAAAAAATAAGAAATAGGTTTATTGAACTTGAAATATTATTTGGTAAAATACAAATAAGGTCTTTGTTAAAAGATGTTCGCGGATGAAAGCAGATTTTCGCGTATAATAGCAGATGTTTGCGGATAAAAGCAGATGCTTGCGAATAAAACCAGACGTTTGCAAATAAAAACCGACAAAAATAAATGAAAAAAATGCAGGTAATCGCGGATGAAACCAGATGTAAGCAGACGTTTGCTGATAATCCCGAGCAAATGCATATACAAACACAACTCAGTAGATCCGCTGAAAAGCAGATAATTACGGATGATTGCGGAGGTTCACTAACCCGGATGAAATCAGGCGTTTGCAGATAAAAACGTGTGTTTGCAGGTGAAACCCTATGAAAGCAGACGTTCGCGGGTAAAAGCATATGTTCACAGATAAAAGCAGATGTTTGCGGGTAAAACCGGATAAAATCGGACGTTTGCGGATGAAAGCAATGTTCGCGGGTGATTGCAAATTTTCGCGGATAAAAGCAGATGTTCACGAGTGATATCAGATGTTCGTGGATAAAAGAAGATGTTTGCGGATAAAAGCAGATGTTCGCGGAAAAAAGCAGATATTTGCGGATAAAAGTAGATGTTTGCGGGTGAAATTGGACTAGGCAGACGTTTGCGGGTAAAAGCAGATTCTCGCGGATAAAACTAGACGTTTGCAGACAAAACCCGACAAAAATAGACGAAAAAAAATGCAGGTAATCGCGGATAAAACCAGACGTTTGCAGATTATCCAGGACAAATGCAGATATAAACGAAACGCAGTGGAGACGGTTTAAAACATACAGATAATTGCGCACGGCTCCCCGGAAAGGGGGGACTACCACAAAGTTTGGTCACTGAAAATTTTTCGACGGGGTTTCGTTCGATATTGTATTCCGAGACGGAAAACACCAAAAAGTAAATCGAAGCAACTCCTTTTTTTAATATTACGAGAAAAATGCATTTTTTCCCTATATTTATTTATTAAAAAAATACTCCGGTACAGAATTATATATTAATCATTTATTTATTTAATTAAAACATACATAATATGTCTATTATACTAAACATAATACTATTTTAATAATAATATGGAATACAATCCTATACTTATAATTCAAAATTCATTTTTCAATAGTGCGAATACATTTTATAAAAATTAACAACTTGATTTTTTATCAAAAGGAATACTTTTTAAATTATAAACATTTTATTAAGATAAAACATAATTTCTTCACATTGACTTTAAATATGTGTACTATTATATCGACAAATGGCACTTAATATTCTATTATCAAACTCAGCATGACTCTCAGACACTTTAAAAAAAAGCCCATACTTAGAAAATCATAATGAACTGACTCAAAAGCCTGCTCGCTGTAAAATCCGAGACTTTTTTTATGTTTTCCGCAAAAATCTTTTACGTGATAAAATGTTGCATGTACTTTTGGTGTTACAGGTAAGTTCAATTTTAAGTAACAAGTTTTAAAATTATTTATACTATCTTCGAAACTTTCTGCAAGTTCATTTCCAAAACAGTCCTTTACAACTTTTTAAAAATTTTGTAAAACTTCAGCATATTTGACACATTTTAAAGTGTACTCTTTAGAATTTCATAAATTATCTGTTTTTTTTTTCAATAAATTTCTGCAAGCATTGCCATTAAAAGATGCACCTCCATGCCGCTTATCTAGTTGAACATTGCATGCTTTAACCCATTTTAAAGCATCTTCATTGCATTCCTTTATCATATGACTCACAATGTGATTTACTACGCCTAACATCAAATGTAGTTCAGGTAGCGTCAAAATGTCATGTTCTTCTGATCCCGAAACTATTGCAGGATTTATACAACTAAAATATTCTTTTGCATCTTTCTTATTTGAACCCGCCTTATACCATTCTAAATCATTTGTCTTGCAGTTTTCGAAGGTTCTTAAAGCACTAATTTTATCAAGTTCATGTTGGTTTGCTGTACACCAAAGACATGGGTACATACTTGAGTGGGGGCCTATACCAAGCAATATGTTTAGGAGCTTTAAGTCTGCAGCGATTGTATCATAACATTTTTCAATTTTTAAAAGTGTCCATAATACAAAAATGTTGCTATGGTTTTCTTGTACATTTGCAGCCAAGGCAAGAATAAATAATTTGTTGACTCCCGTGTCTTTAATATTACTACCATGGACCATTCTAGGACGTTTGCTTTGACTTTTGCTTTGACTTTTCACTTCAGTGCAAAGCATATTTTTAAAAAAGTACCTCCACCGTTTACTCAAACTTTTATGTGTTTCAGAAATATTTCTTTTTTCTTTTATAAAATTTAAAAAACCAATAACATCTGAACAATAAACTACAGTTTTAGTCACATTTGTTTCCTTTTCTTTTTTAAAATTAATGAAAGTTATTTCTTTTACATCAAAAAAAGAATCAACTTGATGACTTCTATCCATTAGAGTTTTATCAATAAATGAACTAATTATATGTCGATTGCCACTACGCTTACGGAAAGCAGATGTAACGTTGCAAGTTTGATCATTACTCCAATTAAACTGAAAACTAATATCGCAGAAGTCGTTTGCACTGATATGACTGTCTTTTATTTGTGGCTGTACAATAACATTCAATTTTCTACCACCATTTGGTTGTTTCAACGTACCTAATTGAAATATTTTTCGAATTTTTGCCTTTTTATTTTTTCCGAAATCTTTATGAAATACCTGTGAAACCAGTTGTTCTTTCTGTTTACCATCCAGCTTTGAAACTTTTTGATAAAACTTATTAACTCGAGACGATGGAATGCATTTGTGCGCAATACCTCTCAGAGTTTGGAAACACTTTTCACAAGATTTTGTATGTTTTTTTTCATTTATGTTTGACTTAATATTTATTTTTTTACATTTAGTATTTAGCGCAAGCTCACATAAATAGCAATCGCATACTAAATCATCACTAGATTGTCTTGTAACTTTCTTTGGGCCAGTAAATTTCGATATATTAAGTAAATGTTCAAATTTCTTTCGTCGATCGCGAGCACCACTTTCTTTAGAGATAGCAAAAAACACTTTTCTTCTGCAGGATGAACACAAAGCACAAGGTAAGCGGTCATCATCAATAATATCACTTTGAAAATGATTTATCAATTTTTTTTAGATCACTATTAATTGGGTACATTGTTTTGGTTTTCCAGTGGCAATATAAGCAAATTTTATATCTATTTTCTTCGTGTGTAGCAGCATTATTTGGTTTTGACATGTTGAAGTATTGTACAATTATTGGTGCAATTAAATATCCGAACATTACTTAAAATAAAAAAATACTTAAATTATGTTTTAAAGTATTTGTACTTAAATATCATTTCAAGTTCGCAAGTTTAAGTAAATACTTAAACTTGACTTTGATTTTCGTATAATTCAAGTAGATTTACTTGATATTTTAAATATTTCTTTCTTTACTTATACTTGTACTGATACTTGATGCGTATTAAAAAAAACTTGTACTTAATACTTAAGTACTTTTTCTTGGTACTTACAACAGCTCTGATTTCCTGCCTAACAACGGGAATAATGAACTCATTCTTCACGTTGTTATGCATCAGTGATTGGCCGATTTCAATATTCACTGTGATTTGAACCAATCGGGTTTTAAATTGGGAGAAGGCAACTATAATACATTTCAAATTGGTAAAAAGTTAGGTTAACCATTTGACAGATGTCAGATTTTATTTATTTATTTTTGAAAATCATTTAATTATTTACTTATTGAGTAAATAAAGCATAGTTATACATTCGAGATGATTTAAGTCTCTCGTCTGGCGACTCGATACGCAAACCTCATCCTCTAGAATAATAGACTGCATTACCTCTCGATTTACGCGTATAGTAATATACTATTTTAAGGATTCTGTTACATTATTGTTAGGTCAGGTTTAACTGACATAATGACCAGGGTTGCCGGATGAATTTCATGAAAGTTCCGAAAAAAATTACAAAATACCCGATTTTACACTCAAGAGTACATAAAGTAGTTTAATTTTAAATTTTCTATTTTAAAAAATGATTAAATTTTGAATTTTGAAGGATGGTAAAAGAATGGAATAAAATAATTATGTATTTTGTGAATAAACGATATTATTCACTGAAAGTTTCTTTAGTATTTTCATAGAAATTTGCAAAATACCCGCTTTTACACGTTTTAATATTTTACCCGGAAGTATGGCAAAAAAACGATTTTCGGGTAAAACACCCGCAAACTGCAACACTTATTTACAGCTTTATTTCCGTACCGAGTTTAATATTAATTGACTTTTAAACTAGTATTAATATCAAATCTTTCTATGCAGACTTATGATCAGTCGAGTATTATCTTATATTAAATCATTTAAGAATTTTGCAATCAGGTATCAAACAACATTTTTTGTACCTATCCCAATTTATAAATTACTAAAAATGTGAAGAAAATTTTAAAATGTACCTGTTTAAAAGTATTTTGCGTGCATAGCAACAGATGTTAACGTATTTTGCGTAAATAGCGCGAATGGAAAAGACTTCTACAACCACGCGCAAAGTACAAATTTGCGCTTCCAAAAGAAAGCACAAAGTTGCACTTTTCCGCTCGCTTAGTGACTATGGAAACCATAATAAAGAAACGATTAGTGTAATGGCGCCTTTTGACACAAACGTCAAATTTGAGGCCATCAATAATTATTAATTTTTACCAGTGGCAGCTCGTAGGTTCTGGCACAAAAAACTTACCTACTAATTTTTGTACATGTAGTCCATGCGAGAAACAGAATTTTCGTGTTTCTTATCCCTCTCTGCGATGTGTTTTAAATCATCTAACCCATGTTTATTCCACGCACGTAATTTATTTTTTTGAAAATTAAGCACATAAAACAAAAAAGCTTATTGGTTACTGAACACCCGCATATTCACTCGAATTTTTCATAGATATTTCTGTTGAATACTCTATTGTAAGTTCGGCCTTTACCTGCGGAAGTGTAGTGTATTCGAAGATTCTTTTTTTCTTAACTAAAAGTTTATATTCAAGTGACATCGGGCTTTTTAAAAGATTTTGCACACAACTTACTTCCGCTGGTGCCATTATTGTTAATAAAAAATAAAGTTTATTTAAAAAACAAAACACGTAATTCAGTTAAAACTTAAAAAACACAACGGTGCGTGGCGACAAAAAAGTTAGAAATCAAACAAACGGACACAGATACCACCTGAGCGGTTGAAGACACTGCGTTCGGTCACCGAACTTCGGTGCCCCAAATTGACGATATATTTGCGTACGCGGCGTACTGAGAGGAGAACCAAAGATAACCGAATCATACTCGGAATAGGTACATTTTAAATTGTGCCCCGGCGGCGCGCGCTGAAGCGTTGCGGAAAGAAGGTTTAATTAAATTTAACCGTTTGAGCGGACGGAAGGAAGGTTTGAGACCATCCTTAAATAGTAATTACAAATTGTAATTACAATAGTGTTACGTATAACTAAAATAATGCACAATGCAACAAATAACTTTTATTACTTTTTATCTGGGCGCTTGGGTGGGCACGTGCCCTTGTGCCCTTTAGAACCAGCCGCCACTGATTTTTACCAAACATTCTTATAGAAACACCGGTTGTATAAAAAATCCTGTGTGTAATTCGAGCGCAAAGTGACATGCCGCTCGGAGCGCTCTTAATACACAAATAGCTATTACGTTTTGTATACAAAAAACTGTTGTTTTGACACTTAATAAATACAATGTATAATGTAAGTCAACTTTTAATGAAAGTTTTTGAAAAACAAGTTTGTGGACAATGCATTTAGGCCACAAAATGCTCTAATTTAAAGTAAGTATATTGTATTTTGCCTACAGATCTAGCACACATATATTAAAGGAGACTTTGACAACATGCCGTAGTATTTTGGCACTCAAATATTTCGTTTCCTTTTCTTACTAGTCAACAGATTTAAGTAGTTATAACTTTAAGTATACTTATTAAGTTAAGTAAAAGTTAACTTATTTTCTAACACAATATCTTTGCGCGCATTTTTCTAGGAATTATGATTTTGTGGACTAGCCCCCTTGACCTTCACGTCAACGTTATCTATGATAGTAACATAATGCTACCTTTGGAATTTTTTTCCACAAATAAATAAATTATTATATTGCTGAAGAAACATTGGACATTATTATGTTACATTAATGTGGGTATATTTTATCTTTCTAATTTTTCTTTCATTAAATACAAAAAAATATTTTAAAAACACCCTATTTTTGATCGGAGAAAGAACTCTTATTCTTATTAATAATATTAGGTCCCTACTTGGCACAAATTCGGTAGCTACAATGTTATGTAATACTTATATTAATAATGAACAAAAGATGTTAGGATCATTTTTATTAAAAAAAGTTTAATAAAAACGATAGGTACGGTCTTTGGGGTTAGCCCGGCAGTATACTAGTAATGAGCCAAACAGCGATATTTGCTTAACTGTTATTGCGATTAACGGTTATTTTAAAGCGCCAACGCGATCTCAACTTTTAATATTTGTTTGTACGATTTTTCACTAGTTAGAAGTATATGCAGAGATAAGATATATAGTTATAACTGTGATGGCTCGATTTTGCTTAATTTAAGCTTAACATCAACTTTACGGAATCTTAACCCCTGCAGATTGCCGGTAAAAACTCAATTTATCTATTTTTTGTTATTAAAAACGGTAAATTTTAGAAGAAAATTTTGGGAACAAAAAATGTAGTGGGCGTTGTCTTCTACAATTTATGTAATTCCCGATGCTCTAGGACGAAAAATTATTTTAATTTAGAAAGTTGTTTATCTTAAAAAAAATTCCTATTAACTTTTTTCCTAAGATATACCGTTTCGTAGTTATAGCGCATATATCTTAAGCTTTGTTCAATCTTAATACAGTATACGAAATTTCAATTTTGTTATGTTAACTGCTATTTTTTAAAAACAGCTATTAAAATAAATAAAAAAAATTATTATTATTATTATTAAATTACCGTTAGCAATATTTAGCTCATTACTAGTATAAACCCTGAAAATACGTGTACCATAGCCAACATAGCATGTTATGGATATGGACATTCCAAAGTATATTCTTTTATCCATGAATATTCATTGAATATACCTAAATAAGTATTTTATGTTTTTTTTTTATTTTATTTTTTTTGTATATATATATATATATATATATATATATACAGGGCTTACCAGAAGTCCCGGGACAGTGCTATAACTTTTGAAGGATTGAAGAAAAAAAATTGAAAATTTTCATAAAAACTACATTCTTAGATAGTTTAAAACTTCCATGCAACGTAAAGTTTTTTAGAAGATGACCACCCCAACATTTTAAATAGCAACCCCTGTAGAGTTTCACCTTATTTTAAAGGTAATGAAAAAAGAAACACATCCCCATAAACCAAAACCCGATATCTTAATTGTTTCAAAAATTATGAGGGGTTGACTACCAAATGGGAAAATAAAACATTTTAATGTTTTTATTGTTTTTTTGCACAAAGGAATTTTAAATAAAAAGTAATAATACAAAACATGGATGTTTTTTTTGACATGATATCAATTGCTGTGTT